GGTTCATCTATCGGATTTAACTATATATATATATATATATATATATATTGTGACCATATACCTTAAATTCGTAATGATATACGTGTTGTACGAATAAAAAATTGCATTGTCCAAATCAAACTCTAGAGCTCTAAATGCATTAGAGACTATTATAGGGTACAACAATCTTATAAAAGTCAACCAAATCAATTGTTTTTTCCTAAATATGAAAGATCTATCTTACTCCCCTATTTCATTTCGTCCATTAATAACTTATCATCTAATACATCAAAAAAATTGTTCTCTTTCATAAAAATCAGTTGCATTAGTTAATATGTATTTTTCGTATAAGATTCTAGGTCGACCCAGATTTAAGAGATTCATTCAGTAAGAACCTCTCCCAACCAAAAATCTATTTGCTTTACATCATCATATTCTAGCACATGCGATTATGATGAATGGTTCCACAAACAACTCCAAGACATACATCAATCCCCGCAATATTTTGGATCTCTAACTGAGGATTCGGCCTAAGCAAAACTCATGATAAAAAACTTCATACCACAATAAACAATTCTGCCTACAACACTCTAGAATTTCTGATAAACTTTGATCAAATAATCAGCAAAAAGTAAACTCTAAAAATCGAATTCAAGACTTGGTACTAATTAGTATAATTTTGTAAATGGTTATTTTACTAAATACTCACTAAATACAAATTAAAGTTTATAGTTTTTGTCAATTTCAATTCACGCCCTCACTATAGTGTTGCCACGAGCAAGTTCCAAGATTAGAGTCACTCAAAGGCCTCCATCTTGAGGGAGCATATAGAGAATATAAGAATATGTGCAAAAGGGTTAAACTGTAATCGTCTTTTACCTAATTTATCATATTTTTTTTGTATATATATATATATATATATATATATATACGTCATGCAAAGAGACCTAAAGGCGGTGCGGTGTGGGAGCCGAAACTTGCACAATCGAAATTTGTATAGGGTTTCTTTTAGGAATACAATTTCGCGAGAATTTCAAAGAACAACAGAAAAACTTGTAACCAAAGATGGTGTTCTTGATATTATTAATGATAGGATTAGGTTTTGATCGTATAAAGAACTAGATCTCGAAAAGAAAAGTGTTTGTTGTTTTTGTGGTGATTGCCTTCGAATATCTGAGCTTTTGTGTACTCTGAAGTCGAGAGCGTTTTCTTCTGTCTCTTTGGCGAAGTCCTAGAGTCGCATTATATAGAGATGATAAACCGCCTCACCAACGATATTCTCGGAAGATTTACATTTTCCTCGGAGTCGGCTTAGAATATCGCGGATAAGGATACTTTCCTTATTCTTCGAAAGTTTTTGAAAGATTTCCCGATTTGCCATGATCCTTCAAGATTCTTCCCTATCATTTCCGAGTATCCCGGAAATAATTATTCTTTTTCGGAAAAGATACCGTTCTATTCAGAAGTGATCTTTTTAAATGAATATTTTACCAAGTATTTGACTCGGGTGATCCGACAAACTTCTCCTCGGACCACCCTGGACCACCCTGAAGACTTCTCCTCGGGTGATTTTATTCGGGAAACGACCTCGGGACACTTGGTGAAGTCGGCTCGGGGTACGGTGATGGTATGTCTTGTACCCGAGGCGATTATGAACTGTCCCGAAAATGTCTCCGAGGCGACGAAGCAAAACAAGGTGTACCCCGAGGTGGTAAAAAGGGTCCCCGAGGCGATGATAGTTTACCCCGAGGTGATGATTACGTCCTGCGGTGATGAAGTCAAACAGAGTGTACCCCGAGGCGATGACCACGAGGTGTTTTCATCCTTGATGTTTGGCTCGGTCTAAAGGAATGGGTTAAACCCGACCCCAACATGCGGTATTCAAACATTTTTTGAATAACGCATCTATGTTCTCCATGTAATTTATACAAATTGCCGTTTTCTATAAATAAATAGAAGAGGATAATATCTTGGAATTAAAACCAATTGATAAAATTATAGACTGCTTTCAATATCAAAAGCATTTTTTACCCAGCGGTCCAAAGAAAACCGCCTCGGATAATACACAAATTGTGTTTTTCTTTTTTGTTTGATATTTTATTAATATACACCTGCAAAACAAAAGAAAAACTCTCTCTCACTCACTAATCCGCATCCTCTTAGATTTGTACAATAATATAATTTGTTATTCTTTTCTTTTAAATAGGTATTTTATACAAACTACAAAATTTACATAATATAATTTTTTTAATAGGTATTTTATAAAAACAGAATAATAATCATAATTCATATTGTACCGCTTATTATACACTACTTGTCCCGCATTACGCATGTACCGCAGTTTAACCGTACCACTTTCTTAATTCATTTACCATGCACTAATACGCTGTCACTATTCGGATCCATAATTTTACTCTTCTCTGCTAATTATATAAAAAAAAAATTGGGTAGGAAAGTATATTTAAGTTTCTAATTAGCAAATATGATAGTTTTCTTTAGGATTTTGGTATTGAGTAGTTTTTACTATACCTGTTACATGTCTACCTTCACCAAAATTATATATTTACAATACAACCATTGGATTTAAGATAGAAAGAAAATAAATTAAAATAAAAATGAGAAAAATCAATGCTTTCCATCATAATAAGGTTTTGGATTTTCTAATAAACCTTAAAATTAATTGATTTAAAAGTAGAAATCGATGTGTCAGAGCTATCGCCATGGCGACCCGTTTTGGAATACCGCCCATTGAAGAGACTACTCGAACTAATAGAGTTTCTAGCTATGTTTAGGAGCTTTTCTGCTATCGACGTCTTCAATATAAAATATAATACGAAAAATAACAAAAATAACATCATATAGAACAAAATTAATATTCGTACATATTAATTAAAAAAAAACATTTTATAAGGAGTAAAATAGTATATATTATAGTTTACATGATAACTATTATACGGTTATGGTTTTTTTTAGCGGCCAATGGTTTTATTAAAAAGCCTAATAGACTAGTACAGAAAGGACAGCAGTTACATAATTAAAACAAAAATTAATAGTCCTAAAAACATATCTAAGCTCAACAAATCATATATATATTCATCTCCATTGTCAATTTTAGATTATCATCGTATAAGTAATCATTCTTTCATCCTCTTCCACTATATTTATGTATCTATTTTTTATGTTCTTATATCAGTTGAAAATAAATAAAAACATCATTGTAAAAATTTGATTCTAAATTTATTTTAGAAAATATGATATATATCTAACATTGTTTTCAGTTTTTATTTATTAACTTATTTTTTCTTTATTTTTCATATTTTTAATTTAAATTTACATATGTAAAATTAAAGTGTTGAAGGCTATAACAAAACTTTTAGGTTATTGGTGATGGAGAGTTAAAAATATCAATTCCAAATTTCCAAACATCGCACAACAAAGAAATGAAGTTGAACAAATCCATCTCCATTCTCTACTTTGGATGTTTGATTATTTTCCAAAATACTCATATACTTGTTTTTTAATTATGCAATACTTAATAAATTTAATTCTTATAATACATTTATCAAATAATTTTTTCTTACATCTTTCTTATCTCAAATAAATTGTTGTAATTCATTCTTAATATATGTATCATTATCTTTAGTTTTATGATCTAATAGATAATTATACAAAGATCGTTATAATGTATTTTATTTAAAATTTGAGGTTTAAGTGTTTTTTGAAAACAAAAAGAGCTTCATCAAAAAAATTTGGTCTTTAAGATTAAAAAATTGAAATCATATGTTTTATGATGAAATTAAATTTAGTTAGAAAAAAAATTAGAATTTGACCTATCACTCATACTTAAATAGAGTGGAATATAGAAGAAAAAAAACTATAATTAAACCAAAGTCATGTTATTAAATCCTATAAGGATGAAACCATTAGTATGAAATCTAGCAATAGAATTTAAATTGATGAGTGAAATTAAAATTTAAGAATAAGATAGAAGCGCTCCTTGGAGTTTTTTAAAAAAATTAGATTGAACTTCATATGATTTTTAAGAAAAAGAATTTACTTTGTCATTTACAAAATAATATGAATTTGAACCTGTATTATGTGTGAGTTTATATCAACACACAAACAAATTAGGAGCTTTTGCAAAAATGTCACTTTTTCAATGCCACTTTTCAAAAATACCCCTTTTTAAAAACCTTATAAAAAATGCTCTTAAAAATATAAGATTTACCCAAATATGTATGTAATATTATTAAAACATACACAAACTACATTTCTATGTATCTAAAATCTTATAAATACTTTATAAATACCTTATAAATGCATTTTAAATATCTTTAAAAACCTTTAAAATATCTTGTAAAACATTTGAAAACCCTTAAAAATCCTTTAAAATAACTTGTAAAACCTTTAAAAACACCTTGTAAAACCTTATAAATACTTGGATCGAGTCTTCAAGTAGTAGTTACAATCCATAAGTATCTTATAAACCTAATAAAACTTTATAAAAATTTCAGATTTAAAAAGGGGCATTTTTGAAAATGGACATCTAAAATGGGCATTTTTAAAAAGGGGTACACCAAAAGGGGTATTTTTAACAATTTCCCTAATTATGTGTGAGTTTATATCAACAATATATTTTGTATAAGTATTATATAACATGTGTTTACTATACAGGACATTTATTTTGTAAAAGTAATATATAACAATTATTTGTTAATGTATACATAAATAAATAACAAGTAAAATAAAAACCACTAAAATATGAGCAAATGCAAGATATCAAATTTTAAAAGAGTTTTAAATTTTTTCCAATAATACTTATATTAAAAAAAAATTATTTTATATAAAAATCTTTGCCGCGTAATGCGGGGTTTTATGTAATAAGACACGTGTAGAACCTTCACGAAGCCACGCGTCTTATGATCCAAAAACCGCTGTTAACTTTCGTCTATTGTCGTCGCCAAGTTCCGATCAATTAAATCTAATGCGACTAAAAGTCTTTTCCTTTATGTTGATATTGATCTCAATTCCATTCAAAGAAACGCCAAAAAACTAACATGAAAACTGCTTCAAAATTCTCCAAGAGTCACCGACTCCTAGGAAACTTCATCACCAACTACATGTAATTTCCGATATAGTCTTTTGTTTCTAAAGTCATGAGCAAAAGAAAAGTGACGAAAATATTACTCCTCGGTAAGCCTGACCATCGAAACAACTTATCTCTCTGCCTTCTCTGCTTTTTCATCCAAAGGTCCAATTAGCCTCTCTCTCTCTCGCTCTCTCTCTCTCCCTCACCGCCGGAGATCGGCTAGATTCCTCCGTCACCTCTAGTTCACGACATAGAGCTTCAAATTCTCCCTTTCAGGTATTGACCTCGCAACCCTAACTCTCGATTTAATTTCACCTTTTTTATTGGATCTAATTGGGGATTTTTGAGTTTTGCCTCGATTGTTTGTGAAATTGTCAACTTTGATCTGCTCTGTGAAAATACATTTGGTTCCTTTAATTGACCCGAAACCAACATAGTTGAACACCATTAAAAAAACCGAATTCTCTTTACTTCTTCTCGCACAACTTGAGAGAGAGAGAGAGAGATAGCGAAAACCTACACAATTCTTCACGGAAGCAACAATTTGGCAATAAAAATCTTAAGTTTCTTCAAATTTATTCATTGGTTTTTAAGCATTCGTTGTTATCCGCTAGAAATTTCCTCTATACCACGGATTCTTAGCGTCTAGCTAGGTGAATTGGTTTGAACGAACCAGTTTCTTTGTGATTCTGAGTCAAATCTGTTCAAAAATCGTTCCTTTCTCTGTCTCCGAACTTGTCTAGACTGTATCATAGGGTTAAGTTTTGTGGGTTTCTTCTTCCTGCAGATCCAATGTTTTTGCTTATGTTTGTGTTTTTAACTATACCAAGACTGATAAAGGATGTGTAAATACTGGAATCTAAATCTTCCTATATATATTCATACTTTTTAAGAAATGAAAATTAACAATTCCTAATTTTGTTCATATATTTCTCCAAACTTTTCAGTCTAAAGATTTAGGTAGGTACGCGACGATTGCCGCCATTGTAGATAAATATGATTTTGACTTTGACCAAACAAACCAGAGTCCTATCAAATTAATTAATTACTCACCTACTGATTGATTAGGCATGTGGTTCATGTTCCACAAAAACGCACTGTTTCACATGTCAAATTTCTCAACCTCTCTCTCAGAGCTTTTTATAAACTCTTATCTTTTGGAATCAAACAAGGATCTTTGCTTCTCCGACAATGGCGGCTACTACACAGTTCAAGTCTTGTCTTCTTCAACCCAAGTCTGGCTCCACCACAAGCCGACTAAACCCTTCTCTCGTTAATCCTCTTACGAATTCGACAAGTAAGTCTTAGCTGATCTTGGTTTGGAAGGCGTTATTCGAATCAAAGTTTCGATTCTTATTTATTTTTGTTTCCTCTGTGATAGGAGTTTCGGTTTTGGGGAAGAGTCGTAGAGATGTCTTTGCGAAGGCTTCGATGGAAATGGCGGAATCGAATCCGATACCTTCCGTTGTCAATTCCTCTAAGCAGAATGGTCCTATCATCGTGATTGATAATTACGACAGCTTCACTTACAATCTCTGCCAGGTTTCATTTCTAACACTATCTCAAATCTTCACTACATCTGTTAAGATTTTTTATGTGTTTTTGAATTTGTTTGGTGTAAAAGCAGCTGAATTTCATTTTGTAAGAAATTTATTCAAGTATGCATCGTGATTGATTATTAGAATCTCATTATTTCAAAATCCAATCTAGTGTCTACATGCTAATAGATAAGACTATGTAATGTTGATTCTCTCTTGTTAATGTGATCAGAGAATCGAATACATCACTTCTTTGTTGCCTGTAGTAGAATCTTTAATCATGTTCAATTTTGTGAGTTGCAATTTTTGACATTAGATTGGTTATTCGTAGTTTGAATATCTCGCTTTCTCATGAAATTTTGGCTGCTCTGAATATCTCACATAACGTACATATATCCCAAATATACAATTTCATCATGTCTTACTTCTAGTTCTCAACGCAGAATCGTGTTAGGTGCATACTATATATCGTGATTGTTCTCTTGATATGGTTTATTCTGCTTTAATATAAACAAAATTTTGAATTGTTATATTTTTCTACAGTATATGGGAGAGCTAGGATGTCATTTTGAAGTATACCGCAATGATGAACTTACAATAGAGGAGCTTGAAAGGTAAGAGGAAACTATGTGCATTCTGTTTTAAAACGTAATGTGGCTAATCAATTGGTGTTGATTCCTATATTATGCTTTTCCTCTTGCAGAAAAAATCCAAGAGGGGTATTGATTTCTCCTGGACCTGGTAAATATTTTGGCGTATGTAGTGTTGAAATTTTGGATTGTTATCTTTTTAAAGCGCTGGAAAAGATGATAACACCTTTCTCAAATTTGATAGGTACACCTCAAGACTCTGGGATTTCTTTGCAAACCGTTTTGGAACTCGGACCATTTGTTCCTTTATTTGGAGTATGTATGGGTTTGCAGTGTATAGGAGAAGCATTTGGAGGTTAGTTGCATATAAAGAGGACATCTTATTTTCCCGTATCATTGTTCTAACATGGTATCCACACAACCTAAATGCAATTGTGTTTTGAACATTGATTAGGAAAGATTGTGCGGGCACCATTTGGTGTTATGCATGGGAAAAGCTCAATGGTACACTATGATGAGAGAGGAGAAGAAGGCTTGTTCTCTGGACTATCTAAGTATGAATCAGATTTTTCTATGTGTTCAATAATTTGGCTTTGTGAAAACCATAATAATGTCCGTAAATGCGTATTAAAACAAAGCTTTGTTGGTATGTCTTCTTTAGCCCTTTCCTTGTAGGTAGATATCACAGCCTCATTATCGAAAAAAATTCATTTCCTAGTGATGAACTCGAGGTTACAGCATGGACAGAAGATGGTCTGGTTATGGCTGCCCGTCACAAGAAATACAAGCATATACAGGTAAAATCCACGCAAGTGTTTTCATGTATCTTCTTGCCTCTATTAAAAAAGGAACTAAACTCTTGAAGTCTTGTAACAATTATTCACAGGGAGTTCAATTTCATCCGGAGAGTATTATAACAACTGAAGGCAAAACAATTGTCGGCAACTTCATCAAACTCGTAGAGAAAAAAGAATCTGAGAAGTTGACATAGACTTCGCCTGAATGAGAAATCAGCTAATCAGTTATGTTCGATTAGTGCCTCTGTGTAATAATGTTTGCTAATGCAAAATGTTCCTTGTCATCTTCACATTGTTTTTATCATAAATGTCAGAAAAACTATGGTGATTTACGTTATGTTATGTCTATCGTAATTCGTAAAAAATGGTTGTGGGCATTTCAGTTTTTCTATTTGGTGTAGTTTGGTAAATTCGATTGTAGTAAAACTACTAAAACACCATACGCTATAGTAATAAAATAGGAGACTTAAGAGAGAGAAAGAGTTGAGAATAGTAATAGATGCAAGAAACAAATAAGGTTTTCTAATCCACCTATTTTGCGCCAAATAAGGGTTCCACACCACGTTGCATAACAGTAAGTAGTCGCAGTGATACACTTTAGACATCTCGATTTGATTAAGCCAATCTACCTGCTTTATAGATATATCAATCAAGTCTTCGTCTTCCTTGTCCTTCATGCGGCAGAGATGGGATCTAATTGAACAAACCTTTGAATCCATCATCATGAACCCTAAAAACTGATGCCTTACCGCTGACGCTTTACCCAAAACCCACTATTTGGATAAATTGTTTCATAATTTGCAAGTGGATCTCAAAACTATCAGAGATGCTATCAGAATCTTGGTGAAGAATCTTCTCCCATACTAGTTTCGGTAGATGATCGCACATACTCATCCTCTTCATTCTTCTTCCAACTTTTGAAAGAAGCTGCGCAATAGAAATTAGGTTTGTTGTCTTCTTGTTTTTGATAATTATGATATATGCTAATTATTGTATCCAAAAAGAAATACTCTATTCCTTTTTCTTATGTGGAAAATAAATACAATTTTATAAAATCATATTCTTTCCATTTTTCCTTAGCATCTACATTCCTCATACATGTTCCGCATTGGACTAAAAGAAGCTTTTGGCGTGATCTGCCTTTGCTACTACTATTGCTTCTTTCATTTCTTGCTAGGCATGGCCTTTCTGCTGAGATTTTGCTCATCAGATTGCATGCAATTCCATACTTAACCACCTAAGTTTTGAATCTACTAAAAATCTATCACATCCTCAAGAACCCTAAGAACTACTCATAAATCATCAAGAACACAAACCGATAAAATGTTAAAAACCCAGAAATTAATAAAAACTTCATAAGTTGTACATCAAACAGAGATAAAAAAGATTGTAGAAGGAATCAAAAGCAAAAACGTAATGGATTAAGAAGAATTTAAATTACAAAGTTTAGGGGTTTTAAGGAGGCAGAGAGAAATACAGAGAATAAAAGATGGATCCCTTGGGTAATAACCTAAGGATACTATTTATAGGAAAAGAGGGAAGCCCTAATACACTATAGGACAAAATAGTAAGGCGACTGGTCCCTGCTCGATCAACCATCGAGCACCTTCGATCGAGCACGATCATTCTTCACTAGTTGGCTCATTTTCTTCTTTGGTCGATCAACCATCGAGATAGGCCGGTCGAGCAGGTTAGTCTTCACGGGTTGGCTCATTTTCTTCTCTGCTCTATCAACCATCGAGATATGCCGGTTGAGCTCAGCTCCATGATCCTTTTCCTAGCATCCTCTCTTAACCTTCATGTCCCAACATATGCTCATAAGCTCCTGTTTTACCTGTAATCAACTCCAAATGCAAAAATGCATGCTATGCTAATGCAGAATGCTCTAAGTATGCAAAGTGATGCAAAATGACTACTAATGACATGAAACATGAGTGAATACTAAGCTAAATGTATGAGAAATGTATGCTGGAAAAGGTAAAATATAGACATATCAGGTGTAAATCGAAGTTGTTTGGTCGAATTTGGCATTTAAGGTAATTAGGGTTGGATTTTTAGATTTAAACTCAAAATTTGGTCGGATCAGTGAAATTTTAGTTAATCGATTTTCAATTTGGGAATTAGATTTAATTGTTTTGATTTTGATAATCGATTTCTAATTTCTCTGTATATATTTGACAGTTTTTGCAATTCAGTTTCACACTAGAAGAAGTAACATGTATGTGAGATTTTGATTTTAAGATTTTAAGATTAATCGAACTGAAATAATTTGAGTTGTGTTTTTATTCTAAGGTAGTGATTATGTCGATTTTGTTTTGCAGACAGTCTTCAAAGCTGCAAGGTTTTGTTGTTGGCGATTGTTTTTACTCTGTAAGCTCTTATTTTCTAACTCATTTGTTTCATTGCAAGTATGTGTTGATTTGATTGAAAGTTAGTTGAGTGCCTTATTCTTTGAATTTATCATCACAAATTGTAAAATCGATGGTGGAGCTGTGGTCCCATTGTTGTGATATGGACCAGGCATGGGTGTGGCTTCCAAGGTATGAGTCTGGTTGAGATATGAACTTTTGTATTTTCATTCATTGATTGATAACAAATACATTTGTGGTTTGATTATATTGATATGAACTTTGTATGGTCTGATTAAACATATAGGGCTAGCCGAGAGTATGTGGAAGGAGCAACAAACTTTGTGACTGCATCATCAAGGATGTTGGGGAATCCATCTGAAATTTTATGTCCCTGCATCAATTGCCGCAATGTTTGCCATCAACTTGTAGACACAGTAATGGATCATCTTGTGATCAAGGGTATGGATAACAAATACATGAGGAATTCGTGTTGGAGTATGCATGGTGAAAGAAAGTCTGATATTTCTGATAGTGTTCCAACATCAGACACTGAGGCTTATGATTTGCTAAGGACGGCTTATTTTACGGGTGAAGGCAGTCCATAGCCATCAAACCACATTGTAGGAGAAACCGAGGAGGGTGAAACTACAGAAGACTTTGAGTTTAGGAATAAGTTGAGAGATGCTGAAACTCCATTGTACTCGACGTGCTTTAATTACACCAAGGTTTCTGCAATAATAGGCCTTTATCGAATAAAAGTGAAAAGTGGAATGTTAGAGAACTACTTTGATCAGCTATTGACGATAGACCATGACATGCTTCCTAAAGACAATGTGCTGCCAAAATCTACAGATGCAATAAATAAATTCTTGAAGATTTTTGGGTTTGGATATGATGTCATTCATGCATGCAAGAATGATTGTATCCTCTATCGAAAACAGTTTGATAAGATGGAAAGCTGCCCTAGATGGGAAATGGATAAACATAGTGGTGAGGAAAAGAAGGGGATTTCAGTGAAGGTCCTTAGATATTTTCCAATCAAAGACAAATTTAGGAGGATTTTTAGATAAAAAAGAATTGCTGAGGAATTGCGTTGGCATTCTAGCAATGCAAGTGAAGATGGTACAATGCGACTGTTGACTCTCTATCTTGGGCTGAGGTAAATGATAAATGGCCAGAGTTTACTCTTGAACCAAGAAATTTTCGTCTCGGTCTTTCTACAGATGGAATGAACCTTTTCTCCATTCAGAACACCAAGTATATTACGTGGCCAGTATTGTTAGTGAACTACAATATGGCTCCAACTCTATGTATGAAGGCTAAGAATATAATGTTGACTTTGTTGATTCCTGGTCCAACAGCTCCCAACAACAATATTGATGTGTATCTTGCACCATTGGTTGATGATTTAAAGGATTTGTGGAATGAGGGTATTGAGGTCTACGATGCATTTTTGAAAGAGAATTTCACACTTAAAGTTATGTTGATGTGGAGTATCAGTGACTATCCTGCCTTAGGGACCTTATCTAGATGTAAAGTGAATGGAAAACAAGCGTGTAATGTATGTGGAAATGATGCTTATTTCCTCAATCCACAACAACTCTTTTGTAGATGCTCTTTATAGCATGGTGACCTACCACAGCTTTTCATTTTGCTCTTGATTCTCTTAGACCCATCTCCAACTCCTACACAATATATATATTTAGTATTTGGAATCATCATCAAAATAGTTCCTACAAACTGTAGATATATGTGTTTTCAAGTACCTTTAAGATGGTCTGAAGATAGGATTCCCGCAGTGATATGCCACTCTAGTCATAAGTTTGGTATTGTGGATTGAGGAAATAAGCATCTACAAAAGAGTTGTGTCGACAAAGAAGAGCTCTGCGGTCTCTACCCGAATTTGAAGATAAGAAGTAGAAAGCCATAAGAATATGATTATGTAAGAAAAACATGTAAAATATTATAATATCGATCACACTCTTGTAAAACCTATGTAATCAGGGGCGGACGCAAAGCAAGAGGACGGTAGGCACGTGCCTTATACTGTTTTTTTTTTCTCTAGTAGTTATTTAAATTAACAAATTTTCTTAAAGAAAAATAAATAGTGTCTTAGTCCAACTTCTTACTAATACGACAGATTTTAAATAAATGTTATTCTTTATCCACAATTTTATACATCCCAATAACCCTACATTTTGGTGTTTCATGATCATACTTTATGTTTCTTATTTTTTCGTTGGTATAAAAAATATTTTTTCGTTTTTATAAAAAAATTCATGATCACAATCTTTGCAAAAACTCCCATACCTAATTTCATACATAATCTTCATTTGTCAATTTTTACCAATACGATGAACATTAACATTGGAGCCCAACTCGATCAAAGTCTTAGCACCATCATAAATCTCAATGTTTATACAAGACAATATCAACATAGTTTTTTGACCGCTTTCTAGCCACCACTTTTCAGCCACCGTTCCAAAGGTACCGCTTTGCAGCGACAACATCGTAGCCACCGCTTTGAAGTAACCGTTCTGTAACCACCGCTTCACAGCCACAACATCGTAGCAAAACAACCGCATATAGCTTGTCCAAACTGTTGGTTTATTATATTCGTATACAAAGTCCATCGTCAAACTTTGTTTTTAAGAAAATGGTTCATATGAGTGGCTAAACCTATATTCACACCATGATAACGAAATTGGGCGAAATCTAGACATTCTTTTCTAAAAGCCATATAATTTGAGGAAAGTCAGTCATTTCATACCCAACCTAAACAACAGTGTTCAATTCATACATGACAGTTAAATCTATATTAATACATACCCAACCTTTTAAAAAATTCAAATAATAATTAAGTTATAAGAAATTATATTTTGTTCCTAAAATAAAATTATCAAATGACAATAAATGTAAAAAATGTCTTCAAAGATTAATATATAAGATTATTGTAGGTTGTTTTTTATTGAAAGCGATTTGAAGATTTTTAGAAGAAGAATTGTGAATTTTGAGTTTATAAACTTGGTTTAAATATTAGTTTCGGTTAAAATATTAGTTATAAGTCTCGAAATGAAGATTTTAAATTCTTACATTAAATATATAATTTTTTTTCACAATTCCGTCGGATGATAGTGATGGAAAAAAAATGAGAAAAGAAAAAAAATTAATTTTTATTTTTGTTTAAAATGATGATGACGTGGCAACAACGTCATGAAGGACGTGACAACCACGTCATCAATGTCATCAACGACGTGGCATCTACGTCAGCAGTAGAGACAAGAGATGTGTGATTTCACACGATTTGATAAGTTTGAGTATGAAATTTGAATTTTTTTTAAAAGGTTGGGTATGTATTGGCACAGAGTAAACTGTCACGTATGAATTGAACACTGTTGTTTAGGATGGGTATGAAATGACCGACTTTCCTATAATTTGACAGCAAACTTAGAGAGAAGTTCAAGTAAACACGGAGAAAAAGGTAAAGAAGAACGTGTCCGAAAAACGTTGTCCACGAAGCTCTGTTCATTTACTTTTTTAGATCTTCTCGATTGGATTTTGAAGTTCTAAATACAAGTCCAATTTTGATTTTAATTACCAAACATCTCAAGATATAACATAAATGATCACGAGTTCAAGGGACTCATCTCTTCACCGGTGCCAAGGTTTAATAAATACACAATCGTCAATAGTCAATCTCGTTTCATTATAATCATGTTACGAGAATGGTGAGTCCATAACACAAATGTCAGTTACAATTTCAAATATTAATTTGTCCATAACATATCCATGATAATAAGTCCACATAAATTTGTCCACACCACCTTCTCACTTCAGGTATTGCACACAACTACTTTTACTCCACTTGTTACAGTTGATTAACCAACCTGAAAAGTTGAATTCCTCATAGTGGCTAACACGAGAAACGATCGCAACGGTTCCAATAGCTAAGAAACCACATCTTAGGTTATTTCTCTCCATCTCATGTTGATTAGAAACAGAGCTAGCAACGAGATATACTTGATTTCTTAGGTATCTTAGGTCTCAATCTTGATTTTTTTTAGATATGAGTGAGTGAGTGTGTATTTTGCACCTAAAACACTTACTTGTTTCTCTCTGTTTTTGAGGACGTTTCTTTTCTATGGGTATCAATGATGTGTTGAGGTGAGAAGTCTCTAAGCCCTACCAAACTCAAATAAAAACATATCACGAAACTAAAATTGATTCAGATGTGAGAGCCTTCCATTGTCTATTCAATAAAGATCTCTAAAACAAACCTGGGATTTACATCTCCATCTTTTTCTTTGTTAAAACAATCACATACACCATCTGCAAGAAACAAAAATAGAGAGCTCTAAAACAAACCTGGGATTTACATCTCCATCTTTTTCTTTGTTAAAACAACCACATACACCATCTGCAAGAAACAAAAATAGAGAGAAAACAAGTAAGAGTAGCTTTCTTATTTCTACACCTTAATAAGCTTCAACAGCTAAATACATGGAAAAGTATTATGATAGTATCACGAGCTGGGCCTCGTGGGTCTCGTAATGGGCTTAATGTTTAAGCCTTCTTTTCTTTAGTTTGTCTGCTATTTAACAGTGTCTTTTGCCTCTGTAAACAATATCGATTAAGATCACAAAGAATGTCAATTATTTCTTTCATCTTCTCCATTCTTCTTCCTCTAATCTTCTGAATTCTTCTAATCCTCATCTCTTTCTTCTACTTCTCATCTCTTTCTATTACTTTCTTGTTAAGCCATTTTGGTACTTAACAAATTACATTTTAACTGAAACCAAATTAATTATAGTTAAAAGGTTTCAAGAACGAGTATGAGCGTGAAGTAGTATAATCACAGAAGTCTTAATCCAGGCTCGAAGATTACACAATACTTAAAACAGAGACGCCAAACCTTAAAACTCAAATATCCCCAATTTCTAGAAACGAATTATAGGAAATATCTACCTTCGATGGAGCAAGTAAAACATAAAGAAGCAAAATTTATGAACCTAAAAGCAAAACTCTAGCGAGAAACAAACAAAAAACTCAGAAATTAAAATTCGGTGACTAATCAACGCAGATGCATACAAATTCGTGAAATTGGATGATGGAGCTAAGAAATTTCCCAGAATCGATTTTTCTATTAACGTTTCTTCGTTTCGAAATTAGTATTGATCGAAAAAAGGGGGAGCCCCAAACCAAATAAAACAAAACAATTGTCTAAAAATCAATCCTTTAATTTGATAAAATCGAAAGATAAATCATTTAAGAGCAAAAACAATAACCAATGGGAAAAAAACGAAGAGGCTGTGATGATACTACCATGGCAGTTCTTTTATTCCAAAAGATCCTCTCTCTTTTCCCACTAAACTCATCCAAGAGAGACACGAGTTTACAGAAAGCCGATTCAGCGAATCAGGTAACTAAACCAGCCAGATCGGACAGATTCTCAAGTTGGTGGTCTGAAAAAAATCTCCTTGAAGTTAAGAAGGTGAATCTGAATGTTCAATCTCTCTTTCTTTAGAAAGCTGATGATTTGTTGAAGAATGAAGAAAGAAGAAGAAAGAAGCTGGACTTGGCCTTCTTCTTTGCAGAGAGAGAGAAGGGATATGAGAATAAGAGAATCAAAAGAAATTGTAACGAAAACGAGATGTAGTTAAAGGGCAAATGTGTCAAATAACTTATCCAAAGTGCATTGCACTTTTTTTTTTTTTTGTCAACTGCATTGCACTTCTTAAATGTCTAAATACGCAAATATGTTCAAAAAAATGCCTAAATCCGCAATAAATCCAATTTTTTTTTAATAAGAAACTTGTACTCTAGTAGACTAAAATAATAATATATATATATTTTACGTTAATTGCCCTTTCCTTTATTTGTTCAAATTTCGGGGATAAAATTCATAGTTTAAGCACACAAAAAGAAGGTTACTTACAGTTGTCCCCGAAGTTTGAGTTTCTCCATAATTTCATCTTATTTTTGCATGTTTGCTAATTTTTGTCCCTCAATTTTAATTCATTGTTCTTGGATTTTAGTATGTAAACTCTAATTGTGGTATTTTCATTTTGTTTGATGTTTATATTTCGTTTGATTATTGTCTCCGAATAGGGTTTTTTGTCTCCCGGATACTTGTCCCTAAATGTTACACTTTATCTACCACATCAACCGAGGGCAAAACTGTCTTTTTCATATCACAATACCACATGAATGTGGTACAAGTGGTAAACCATTCTCTATTGTGGTAGAGATGCTAATGGATTTGAAAAATATGGTACATTTAGCCAAATTCCCTTCTCAAAATATAAAAACAAATAATAAATAATAATTTTTCATTTCTTTTTTTTTCCTTCTCCCAATATTTATCTGAGTTTTTAAATATTATCATCTTTTCTTCTCCTTGGGCGATTTAGTTTCTCCTTGGCGTCGGCATCTTTTAGAGGTGAATTGAATGATAGTCCATTTTCGTTGGTTTTCCATATGAATTTTTGTGTTGTTTAGGGTTTGTGAATTCTGATCTGAGTCACCGATCTAAACGAAACATACGAAACCTCGATCGATTTATACAGAGAGATCAGAACTTGAGTGAGATCTCGTCTTCAAGCTGCAGGAAGAAGGAAGTCGAGAAAATCACCGACGCCGGAGATCTAGTGAATCGCCTTCTTCAACTATGGCGCTTAGATTTAATCCTGTCTCCACGTCGCTCTCACCACCACTCCCTCCTCCTCTCAGAACTCAAATTGAAGATCCAAACGCTCAGTCTCAGCCTAGTCAAGAGCATTTTGATGCTTTTACTTCAACCAAAGTTGCGGATCTAGCTAAGCCGTTGAAGGAATTAGGGTTTCCTTATAAGATCCATATAGTGAAAGATCATGATATGTCTTGTGATTGAGAGGCTTGGTCTTAGTGCTGTGATTATGGCAAGGCGAAAACACGTTTCCAATTTTACTTGGAATCCGATTTGGGAGATTATTATCACACAAATTGATCAATTATACTCATTTCACTTCAGATATATAAGGAGATATTGGTAGATTAATCATTGTTAGGGTTATTAGAAACTAGTTGATAATTCTGTTTACGTTCTTTTTATTTCTACTTGTGGCATTCACAGAGGTAAAGGAGTCATTTGCATGCTGTTTTCCAATAAAGTTAATTCTCTAATCGAACAAGTTTCGAGATTGGATATTGACGACGATATGGGCCTTGGAGGTAGTGAAACAATGGAATGCAAGTGTGGTATGCCCCTATGCATCTGTGTAGCTTCTTCCAAATCAACGGATAAACCAAACCCACCGGTAAATACTCATTTCGGTACATGTTTTCCTTACAATATATATTTTCTGAAGATGCTTTTGGAACAGGCTACCGTTGCTCCTGTGGTTCTCCCTCAGTTAAAGTCAGAGACTTCAGCAAAAAGTAAAGGTTCTACTTCCAGCAGCAATGCTAGGTATGTTAGCATTTAGTCGTAGTATCAAGGCAAAAGTTTGTGTCTAGATTTAACTACATTAGATTTCATTTACTTGATTATTGCACGGAAGTATCAACGAGAAATTTGCGTGCTCTTGTACTTCAACTGGACCGATCAAATCACTCAAAGTTTCTTGTGTAATTGGTTCTGCTTTTCGTGCAATTGTGTAGAAAACTTGCTTTCGATATTCGTTTTTGTGGCAACTGACAAATGATATTTAAAATTCACTCGCTGCCATCTTTTTTAGTATTTTGATATGTTATTAAGCTGTTGAAAATCTCAGATCAGCTCTTAATCCTGGACTAGACACCCCCCAAAGAGACTATGAAGCCAGTGGGGAGGTAACTCTTGACATTTCATTACAGAAATAAACTATGGTTTATTTTTCCTGACAGAGTATTCATTGATTTTGGGGAATTTGTTTGTGAAAAGGGATTAAGGGAAGCTATTAAGAATGGTGACATTGCTGGTGTGAAAAAGCTTCTAAAAGAGGTACTTAATCTCCAATTAAGAAGCTGCGCTTAATTAAGTGTATAGAGAGGCTAAAACTGTAGGAGTTGCAGGGCGTAGATGCAAATTACCGTGACAAGCAGGGAATGTCAGTGCTTCATCTGGTAAACATACCGCTCCTCATGTGTGATTGATTTGCTTAGGTAAGTTTAAATATAGTAATAACATAAACTTTGACTTCCTCAGGCTGTCCTTTTCAACCAAACTGATATTGCATTGATGTTGATGGATCATGGAGCAAGCCTCGAGTACAAGAATGCACAAGGTAATTCTCATGCTACACAAATCTTGCCTTTCATGATGTGTCTAATCAATGACCTGTAAATAACATTTTGACGAGAACAAGTGTAGTTAGTTGTGAATACTTCCCTTTCACATGGGAACTTCTCTGGTTTCGCCTAAAGTATATAAATTGTTATGCGTCACCAGGAGAAACACCGCTAGATTGTGCACCCGCAACACTGCAATACAAGATGCGGGAAAAGATGAAGTCCACTTAACAGCAGGCATCATACAGAGGTACAAATCATTTTTTCAGATAAGGGAAAGATTTGTAATGAGTTTGCTTGTAACTTTAGTTGCATTCTGTGTGCAATTTTTCATGTTATGTGATCTTTGAACCATGTCTTCTTTCGCTATGACATAAAAACTCTCCTTTTGTGGCAAGCTAAAAATATACAGTTGTTCAATTTGCTTTGCATCCAAATGCAGCGTCTGAATTAATACGATGTTTTATTTGTGTTACATCAACCGAACATCCGAATGCAGAAACAAAGAGCACCATTGTTAATACTTAATATCACCATACTTTGCAAAATTCTTTTGATTCGTTGTCTCCAACAATCGCACAAACTTTGTCTTCAAGGTGGTCTTCGTCGAGAAAACTATATGATGAAAGATGAAAGATGTGTCGGTGGCTCATATTGGGCCTCGAATCCTCTGAAAGCCCAAATTGAGGGACATGTGACACGTGAATGGTGTAGAGAAAAATCAGAAAATCAGTGTGAACCCTATCTATCTATCTATCTCTTGAAATCTTCCCCTCTATAAAATCTATCCCTTAGTAGCTAGTTGTAGCATCATCACTCAATTAAAACAAATGAAGTTTCATTTGCTTGTAGACTTCTGTAGTTCTAGTTTTCAAGATTATATACGTTTTATAATCTAACCATGTTTGTTTCTTTGCTTGTTCTTTCTTTAGTTACTTTTGGTATAATTCACTGATTGATTCCATCAACTCGTTCAAGCACCAGCTCGAAGAAGCGTAGCTAATTTATCTTAGAAAATCATGGATTTGAAAAAGCTACGCTTCTCGAGAAGGTGCATGAACAAGTTGATGCATATTTTGATCTGCAAAGACCAAAATTGGATCTCACATGTGATGTTGTCAATTTTATCCAATTCAGGAAGTACTCTGTGAACTTGTTCTTTACCTTTTATTCTACTATTGTTGTTAGTGTTTAGCTAGAGAAACTATATGGATTTGGTTAAGAGAATAAACTGTAAGTTTGTGGATTTACTTTGATTTATCACTTTATATATGACCATTAACACTGATATTTATGTAGTAAAAGTAGAAAGCAATTGTTTAGAAGCCTTGGGAAGTTGGATTTGTGCGGATAGAGAGGATTCTCGTTTGTTGTTTTTCTTCTAATTATGTGAAAATGTATAAATGTAAAATACAAATGCCTTTTAATGTCTTTATTAAATAATTTTGAGACGAGTTTTTACCATATTGGTACATAACTGCTTAGCCAAAAATCACAAAAACATAAATGCATGTTTGATGAATTACTCTATCCACTACTTAGTTTACATTCACAATTCTAAATTAAACAGAGAAAGAGACAAAATCTGTGATGTTCTCTCACGAAAATAGAAAAAATTATGTATTAGTTTTTTTTTATATATAATTCAAGGCAAATCTCCATACTTATGGAGGGGTTTAGGACTAATCTCTGGGGAGAGAGTGTCCTACGGGTAAGATCCCCCAGATTTTCAAATGGGCCGTAAACAATGGGTACATTACATACCCATGTGGCCAAAGGGATAAAGCCGAACAATTTTGCGTCTCCCATGTGGCCAAAAGGATAAAGCCGAACAATTCTGCGTCGGGAGAGAATCGATCCCTGCCCTAGGCCAACATGGCCACTCTTCTACCATACTAGAACTACTAGCTTACCGCCTCTAGTTAAAATTCTGTATTTGTTATGTGAAAATTTATAATTTAAAATATAAATGCATTTGTGCAGATGGAATTAATTAATTAAAGTAACTTATTTTTTTTGGTGTTTTTTCTTAAGTCGAATTTGCCAACAAAAGTGATGATTATCCCATTAACTTTTAGTCATTGGCCTGATCTTCTGTCGCATCACGTTTACTTAGTCAAGGTTTATGTGGTTAGCTTTCTTTGTCCGACCTTTAAAAGTCTTGGTCTTTTATCATGTTGCAAAGAGAAAAGCAATGACAAGAAGATGGTTTGAAATTCTCACTTTAATGAAACTACCAAATAATCTCTAATTACCATAAACCCATTATCGTTTTTGACCTAATTGCATGTGCGTATACTTATGAGTTATGAATACATTGATTTTCTCAAGTTACGTATTATACCCAAAAAAAAACATACAAATTGCAAATTATTATTGTAAACATTCAATCAACTTTCTATATCCCCATCTTGAGCCGCCTTCTTTAGTTTCTCTAAGATATTATCATTCCTACTCAAACTATCACAGAGATTTTCATCTTGAGCTACCATATCTGATACTACTCTATTGACATCCACAAGGATCGACATAACTTCACAGCCAAGCTTCTGCTGCCTCCAAAGTTTTTTTTTTCTTTTTATGTTTTTTTGGGTTTTTGGCTCATGTACCTCATATATAACTATAAGCTAGATCATAACCCGTGCTATAGCACGGGTGTGAATTTTTTTTTTTAAAATTAAATTATAAAGGTGTATTAAAAAGCAAATAATATAATAAAATCAAAATTATAAAATTTATATCATAGCATGTGTAATTTTATTTGTTAATAGGATTAAATGTTGTATTATATTTATTTATGTGTGAAAATTATTTTCTTAATAAAAGATTAGATAATATTGTAAAGTATATAAAAATGTTGAGAGATATATATAAAATTGGGCCAAGTTGGGTTCAAAATATTAAAGTTGCAAAATAAAAATAGGCCCAATCTTTAAGTAATCCACTTTGGTTTTGTTTTAATAATAGCATAAATGATTTAAAAAACATAAAATAATGTTTTCGAAAAAAAAAAAAGACAGCAAAAAAATGAAATAACAAAAAAAGGACCGCTACTGCTTCGTTTCCGATTTCTGATAACGGAGAGAAGTCGGCATCCTTGTAATAAACATCTTTCGACGATTTTGATTTCTAATTCTTCTTAATTGAGCTTCCCAGATTGATAAATCCATGCAATTTCATTCCTCTGAAACAATTTCGGAATTGAAGAAATCAAGAACTATAGTTCATCGATTATGTTCCAGATCAGTGGAATTAGAAATTCGTCTTAAAGGTACATCGAATTCTCAGGTTTAATCGTATCTATTATAAAAAAGTCGATGAATATTGTTCTTCAATTGATTAGTGATTGAATCATGAAAGTTGTAAGGAATTCAACAAATTATAGAGACAATTTGTTTATCGTGGATTCAAAATAATGTAATTCAATATGGAAAATCTGGATTGGATCTAATCTTATGACTGTGTTTTACATTGGTTCAAATATAGATTATAAACCATATGCTTTGCAATCTTAACTTTTTTCAGATTCAACAATTGATATCAATTAAGGATCAAGCTTGATAAATTACATCTCTAATCTGAATATGAAATTATGTGCAGGTTTTTGGTACAGACATGTACATGGAGAAAGAGTAAATCAATCTAATGAAGACAATCTAACCAAAAATTATGAGACGGCATGCAATGAGCTCTGTTGAAACAGACTATTAAGGTTAGTACGGCTACCTAACTCATAAAGCTTTTAGAAACATAACTCATTAAGTCTTTCAAAACATGTTGATTTGATGCATTTGATTAATAATGAAATAAATGTTCAATGAATTTAAAAATTAAGCAGAGTTATAGGAAAGTTTATATAACATCAGAGTTTCAATTGAAATCTAAAGAATTAAAGAAATTTGAAATGAGTTTGTTTCCAACTCTTATTCAACAAAAGATTAATGACTGCATCTTCTGTGTTATCGTTTAAGCACTGCTATGATGTTCAAAACCTGCAAATGATAGAAATAATAAAATTTAATTCCTAAATGCATAATTAGTCAGTTGTAATCTGCACAAAAACATTAGACTAACTAAAATACAGAAATAAGTTATAATTAGTGTTGAAAGTTACCTGAATGAAAAGCTATCAAATCTTCTCTTTTTCAGTACTGGCTTAACGAAGGTTTTGGAAGACTTCTTTAAAAACAACATTCATTGTTTTGGTCTGAGGTTTACCTTTCTTGTCGGTGATAAGAATCTTCAAACCTGATTTTGACGTCACTCTAGATATTGCCACATATAGTTGCCCATGTGAAAAAACCGGCCTAGGCAAATAAAGTCCAACATTGTCTAGTGTCTGTCCTTGACTCTTGTTTATGGTCATGGCAAAAGCTACAGATAGGGGAAATTGCCTACGTCTCATTTTGAAAGGCAGTCTTGCATCTGATGGTGTTATGAGCATCCTATGAATAAGAACAGTCTTACCAACTTTATTACATGTAATAACTCTAGCTTCGATAACTGTATCTGCCATTTGAGTGATCTGTAGTCTTGTCCCATTGCATAAACCTTTGTTAGGATCCATGTTTCTGATCAACATGACTGGACAACCAATTTTAAGGCGCAAACAATGGTTAGGCAATCCAGAAACTCTGATACTGTTTAGAAAATCAGGAGAATAAGCCTCATTATTTGTAGAACTTGTATCAGCGGGGTCTATACTGTCAGAGCTTAGGTAGATTCTTTCTTCACCTACAGACAGAAGGAAAACAATTGTAAATAACTAATAAAGCTGTTTTGAAATTTAATTAGCTAACTTAAAAAATACTAACAGATGTTGATGGAAGTAGTTACCATTCACCATGTTCAACATATGCTCATTTATGGAGTTCACATCTTCATTAGTAGGACAAAGAATAGCTCTTCCTTGAAAGAACTTAGGATCATTCTCGTCCATAAAATTATTTCCATAAACAGCCTGTATAATTGATTCGACCGGATCATGATCCTGAGTAATGAGAAACTCTTCTGGGATATCAATCTGAGCAATTCCATCATTAGGCTGAGCAATTTTACCATCCCCAACATCTAATATCCACTTTGAAAATTCCTCGATATTGCGCTTTTCATGCTCACTAATGTTTGCGAGAAGTCTCATGTTTTTTGTTAGCTCCAAAACTTTGCAATGCTCCCATATATAAGATGAATTTAATGCAGCAAAAACAATTTCCTCCCTACCAGCACCATTGATCACTGGTAATACCTGTCTGAAATCACCTCCAAAAACGATAACCTTCCCACCAAAAGGCTTATCATCTGGATTATTTATAATATCTCTCAAAGTTCTATCCAAAGACTCAAAGCAATGCTTGCTCATCATAGGAGCTTCATCCCAAATAATAAGTTTAGCCTCTGTAACTAACTCAGCAAGATCTGTTCC